GGCGACCTGCGGACACGAATGTCGTCCGAAAATCCTATCTTCTAAATATAACGTTAATTTTTGTTCTTCCGTTACGTTCCATAATGTCCAACGTTCATGGACTTAATGCACACGTTTTTGGCTGGAATCAATGTCCCAAACGTTGGGCATTGATGTCCAACGTTCCTATGCCTTAAACAGACCATTAACACATGCAAATCCACCCCTATAAAAGGCTGGTAGCTGCTTTTCAAAAAGACACAACACACATACGTACTGCACTCTTTTTAGCTAAAAAACACTCCAGTCTTCTCCGAAAAATTCCTTGAGTGTTCACGACATTGTTCTTGTTCGCTGGAACCATAGTTTGAGTGCTAAACTATCGTTCGAAGTCATCGTATCCTGGAAAACGATCGTTGCAACGCTCCTAGCACCCCGGGAGGCAACGAATACGTTTTAAGGAAATCGTGCGTAGCACGAGCTTTGGCTTTTTCTGCTTCATCTCATTTCTTGTTTTCTTTAAGTCAGTTTATTTAATTAATTTTTATTAGTTAATTTTCTTTGTTTTTCGAAACACACCCAACAAACTTAAAACGTATTCAGTGATTGTTCTACTACGGTAAACAATCTTACACTTGTAGTTTGTCACCTTGGTGAACGAACTTGTTTTTGTGTTTCCGAAGAACGTAAGAAACGAAAAAATGACTTCTCAAGAAAATGAAAATGTTGTTGGGCAGAATGCTTTGAACGGTTTGAACGATAATCACTCTGAAAGCGGAGCTCCGGTGAACAACAGTTCACAACGCGGTGCATCTGCTTTGGTTAACCAAAGGGCTATCCCTATGGTGACCATGCCGAACAACTCTGTGGAGAAACCCGAAAAATTTAATGGGTTAAACACTTAAACTTCAAGAGGTGGCATCAAAAGATGCTCTTCTATCTCACTACTCTCGGTCTTGCACGTTTCTTGACCGAAGATGCGCCGGTAGTAACCGGGGGTGAGGTGGATGCGCAATCTTTCAACGCGGTTGAAGCTTGGAAGCATTCTGACTTCCTATGCCGAAATTACGTATTGAATGGGCTGCATGATGCTTTGTACGATGTGTATAGTAAATTAGCTACGGCTAAGGAGCTATGGAATGCTTTGGACCACAAATATAAGAGCGAGGATGCCGGTGCAAAGAAATTTGTTATCGGTCGATTCCTTGATTTTAAAATGGTGGATTCAAAGACGGTCTTGAGTCAAGTTGAAGAAATGCAAATGATCTTCAACGAAATTCGAGATGAAGGAATGACATGAACTACCTTAAGCATAAACGAAAGGAAATGAACTTGGAGCAATTGATCCTCCGTCTTCGGATGGAAGAGGATAACCGGAAGAACGATGGGAAACTCCCAATTGTTTATGGCGCCAAGGCCAACGTGGTGGAGCATGCAAAAGGCTCCAAAAATAAAAAATAATGGGAAGAGCAAGCTCGGTCCCAAGGGAGGCGTTTCCAAACCCAAATTTAATGGAAAATGCTTCAATTGCAACAAAAATGGACACAAGTCCTCGGATTGCAAGGCACCAAGGAAGAAGAAAGACTCTCAAGTCAACATGGTGCAAGGTGGGCAAAAGGATGAAGACATCATTCTTGCGGCCGTGGTGACCGAGGTCAACCTCGTTGGATCCAATTCCAAGGAGTGGTTCGTGCAACCCGGCATATTTGCTCTAACCGGGAGCTATTCACGACCTTTGAGCCATCAAACGGTGAGAAGGTGTGGATGGGGAATTCTGCTCATTCCGAGGTAGAAGGCGTGGGCAAGGTGGTCTTGAAGATGATTTCGGGCAAGGAGCTGACTCTCAACAATGTGTTGTACGTCCTGGAGATACGCAAAAACCTGATCTCGGGCTCTTTGTTGAACAAGCATGGCTTCCGCATGGTCTTTGAGTCGGACAAACTAGTTTTGTCTAAATCGGGAATGTATGTGGGGAAGGGGTATGCAGTTGATGGGCTGTTTAAGCTCAATGTAATGACTATTATTAATAATAATAATAATAATAATAAAATCTCTTCTGCTTACTTGCTTGAGTCTTCCAATGTGTGGCATGGTAGACTAGGACATGTTAATTTTAATTCTATACGTAGATTAATTAACATGGAACACATCCCTAAATTCACAATTGATGTGAAGCACAAATGTGATGTTTGTGTCGAGGCAAAACTAACGAAAACGTCTTTCAAATCGGTTGAAAGAAAAACGGAACCACTAGAATTAATTCATAGTGACGTTTGTGATTTTAAATCAATACAAACACGTGGCGGTAATAAATATTTTATTACTTTTATCGATGATAGCACTCGCTATAGCTATGTTTATTTGTTGAAAAATAAACACGAAGCAATCGATAAATTCATTCTTTATAAGAATGAAGTGGAAAACCAACTTAATCGACGGATTAAAACGGTTAGAAGTGATCGAGGTGGTGAGTATGAAGCACCAATAGGTGACTTTTGCGCTAGTGTGGGTATAGTACACGAACGTACCGCACCCTATTCACCTCAATCAAACGGTGTTGCCGAACGAAAGAATCACACATTGAAAGATATGATGAATGCGATGCTAGTAAGTTCGGGCCTGCTACAAAATATGTCGGGCGAAGCGATCTTAACAAGCAATTACCTTTTAAATAAGGTTTCCCGGAAAAATATGATAAAACTCCATACGAGTTGTGGAAAGGCAGACGGCCTTCCTATCAATATTTGAAAGTGTGGGGGTGTCTTGCTAAGGTGCTTGTACCAACACCTAAGAAAATAAAAATAGGTCCAAAACGGTGGATTGTATTTTTATTGGATACACACAAAATAGTAGTGCTTATCGGTTTTTAGTGTACGATTCGAATAATCCGGATGTACATAAAAACACAATAATGGAGTCAAGGAATGCATCATTCTTTGAAGACGTATTTCCATGTAAGTCCAATGAAGGACAAAGCACGTCAAAACGAACGTTTGATGTAGCTATGGAAAGTACTAGCGAGGGATCCGGTGAAGAAACTGAACCCCGACGTAGCAAACGTGCTAGAATTGAAAAATCCTTCGGACCGGATTTTCTCACATATTTGGTAGAATTCGATTCGAATATTCTAACATGTATAGTAGCAAATGAACCGGATTTTCTAACATGCGTGGTAGAAAATGAACCACGGACTTATACGGAAGGCGTAACGTCTACCGAAGGTCCTCTGTGGAAAGAAGCCATCAAAAGTGAGGTGGATTCTATCCTAAAAAATCACACGTGGAAATTGGTTGATCTTCCTCCGAGAAGTAAACCTTTGGGATCCAAGTGGATTTTTAAACGTAAAATGAAACCTGACGGTTCCATTGATAAGTATAAGGCTAGACTTGTAATCAAAGGTTACAAGCAACGCGAAGGCCATGATTACTTTGACACGTATTCTCCTGTGACGAGAATAAATTCCATTGGGATGATACTAGCAAATGCCGCTTTACGGAATTTGGAAGTTCATCAAATGGACGTAAAAACCGCTTTTCTAAACGGCGATATAGACGAAGAAATCTATATGGAACAACCTGAGGGTTTTCGTGTTCCAAGCCTAGAAAAGAAGGTTTGTAAATTAATTAAATCATTGTACGGATTGAAACAAGCCCCTAAACAGTGGCCCCTAAATCATTGTAAAAGAAGGCTCCTCCAGGCATGCTGACATGGCAAAAAGTACCCCTATTTGGGAATTAAGTTTAAAAGTACCTCATTTAGGGAAATAAGATTACAAAATACCCCTCTAGGGAAAAAACTCGAAAACAATGTAAGCGGGGGTCTTGAGGGGATATGTTTGGAAGGTGGCGGGACGAGTCACGAGTGTCGTTCCGTGGAATATGTCCAAAATAAATTATTTTACTCCTAAAATGTTAGGTGATCCCATTTGCTTATTTTAAATTGTTACTCCCTCCATGCCAGGTGGACAAAATGGTTTGGTTTAATCAAATCGGAAATTGGTGGTTTGGTTTGGGTTTACTTGAGTATGTCGTTTGGTAAAAATTTGCTCAAATCGAATGGTTTAGTTTGATTTGGTTTAAAATAAAAATAAAAACGTAAATAAAATCGAACACCGAACAACTTTTATACATACTCCGTATATATTTAGGTTCAAATGAGAATACCATCTTAGGAAAGACATAAGAATAAATATGAGTCATTAGATCATGTGCATGTTTGACAGACATAAGTCACTAGCTTTTAGTTTTTGTATTGTTCAAAAAATCTCTAAAAGTTTCTAGGTGTATATTTGGCATGACGATTTTTAAGAGCTTTTCAAAAATTAAAAGATCTTTTGTGAGCTACCGGGAATGGCATATGAGAAAAGCTTGTGACTGTTAGTATTAATTATCCGTACTAATTAGTCTCAATAGCTTGTATATCAAACCGAACTAAATCAAACAGTCAGCTTTTTACCAAACAGCTATCACTTTTTCTCTTTAAGATCTTTTCAGTTAACCGTGCCAAACATACCCCACACCCTATTTTAACCGTGCCAAACATACCCCACACCCCACATGATTTTACTTAAAGTTTAGAAAAGTTTTTTAAGTTACAAATGTTGTTTTGAGCATGATGTTAGTATTTTGAAAAGTATATCAAGTTTTAAGATCTTTGAGTACAAAAACTAGAGCGCTAATCCAGAAAAGTATATCAAGTTTTAAGAACTTTGAGTACAAAAACTAGAGCGCTAATCCAATTAAAAGTTTCATCACAAGTTTTGAGTCGTTCATACATATAATACAGTAACACACTTGCATACTCCACAAAATATAGTCTTCTGGCTACATATAAATATATAATTCGTTATTATTATTTTTGCATTCATAGCGAAACCCCAAATGCACACTCGCAGCAGCAGCAGATGTTCCCAACACTCTCATGGAGAGGTACTACCAGGAATTATTAATCACCACAAAGTCAGCACAGCCCGTACTGTAAAAACCAAAACGTATATACTCGGAATTCAAGACGAAATAAACAATTGCACCAAGAAACACTTATGCCCCAATGCAATGTTACACCACATATTTACGAGAGCCTATCCGAGTGGAGTAGCTATCACTATACAAAGAACAAATATATCCTGCGCTAGAAGTGTATTACTTACAAAGTAGCAAGTAAATACCAGGTGTGCAGTCAAAAGAAACCAAAGAACAGACTTGTTAGCAATGAAATACCATGCAATTTGAGTCATAGAAACAAGTGTATACTTGCTTTCAGGCAAAAAGAGTATAAAAACGACGCAAAACATTCGCACTTGGCCAAAATTTTGTTTCTTGACGATGCAATCATAAAATGGCCCAAAAATAAAAAGGTCGCAAGTTGTAACATACATATTGCAGGCTTTCAGCCCATGACATTTCCATAATTTGAAATCATCAGGCACTCTCCGATAAATGACGGCCTCAACAGGCACTAAAGGATTGCCATCATTCTCCAGATCTTTGACCAAAAAATCAAGGTAATAAAAATGACCATTTTCCGCAAATTGACGCCCCACCTTATCCACGCTGGCAAACTCGCAACACTTTTCAGGCTACAGATAATAGCATTTAAAATAGTTACATATAGGCTTTGTTTGGCGGGCATAAGTCTCTGACTTCTAGAATTTGTACTGTTCAAAAAGTCTCTAAAAGCTTCTAGTTATATGTTTGGCATGACAATTTTTAAGAGCTTTCCAAAAATTAAAAGATCTTTTTTGAGATGCTACAGGCAGTAGCATTAGAAAAAAGCCCATGACTTTTAGTATTAATTAGCCCTAACAGCTTGTATACCAAACCGAACTAAGAAGCTGTTCTCTTCGCCTGATCTGAATGTTTCTGATCTGAATTTTTTAAGTTCTGATCTGATCTGATCTGAATTTTTCTGATCTGATCTGATCTGAATCTGTCTGATCTGATCTGATCTGATCTGAATCTTTCTGATCTGATCTGATCTGAATCTTTCTGATCTGATCTGATCTGAATCTTTCTGATCTGATCTGAATGTTTCTGATCTGGTCTGATCTGATCTGAATGTTTCTGATCTGATCTGAATCCTTCTGATCTGATCTGAATCTTTCTGATCTGATCCGATTCGAATATTTCTATGATTATAATTATAATTATAATTAAAATTATAATTATTATTATTATAATTGCAATTACAAATATAATTTAAATAAAATTATAATTATAATTGTAATTATAATTACAATATTTATCTCTATAATTGTAACTATAGTTATCAATATTATTATAATTACTCCGTAAAATAATTACAATAGTAATAATAATAATAATAATAATTATAATAAAAATAATCATAAATTATAATTATAATATAATTATAGGTATAATTATAATTATTATAATTATAATTAATAATAATTATAGTTATATTAACATTAATTATAATATTATAATTTAATAATAGTGATATAAATACAATTAATATTATTATAACGACATTATTATATTAATATTATTATTACAATAATATAATAATATTATTATTACAACAATATAATAATAACATGATTATTATTATAATTAGTATTATATTATTATAATATTATATTATAATTATAATTATAATCATAATTATAATTATGATTGTAATTATAATTATAATTATTATAATTATAATTAATTACAATTATATTTATAATTAATTATAGATATAATTATAATAATTACAATTGATTATACTTATAATTATAAGAATTATAATTGTAATTATAATTATAATTAAATATAATTATAATATAATATTATAATAATATTAATCATATCATTATTATTATAATATTGTAATAATAATAATAATAGTCTTCTTAACAATTGCATTTATATTACTATTATTATATTAAAATATTATAACTATTATTAATATCTCTTTTATCATATTATTATTAATATTAGTAATAATAATTATATAATAATAATCATAATAGTAATAACAATATTAATAATAATAATTAATATTTAATATAATAATAAAAATGATAAATCATGTTTGAACTTTTCTGATCTGATCTGATCTGAATGTTTCTGATCTGATCTGAATGTTTCTGATCTGGTCTGATATGATCTGAATCTTTCTGATCTGAATCTTTCTGATCTGATCTGATCTGATCTGAATCTTTCTGATCTGATCTGAATCTTTCTGATCTGATCTGATCTGAATTTTTCTGATCTGATCTGATCTGAATAAAATAAGAATAAGCAATAAGTAATAAGAATAAGACGAACAGAACAGCACCTAAATCAAATAGTCGGCTTTTTTACCGAACAACTATTGTCTTTTCTTTTTAATATCTTTTCAGTCACCAAAAGCTAACCGTTATTAAAAAGCTTACAAAAGTATCTTTTCAACTAGTTATGCCAACATACCCATAGAAGATCTGGAGAAACACATAATGTATTTGGCTCAGAAAAATGATGATGAAGTGCTTACACGGTATTTATGGTGCTCATCAACAATCCAATTGCACATAGAGAGGATGGTATCATATTCTTTAGCACCCTTAGCTTTGAGTCCTTCAAGTTTAACAGGCTGTACACGGCCTACAGGCATGCTGGAAAGCCTACTTCGACCTCCTCGTCTCTATAACACGGGAGGAAAAGAAGATTTCAATGTATAACCATGAAAATCACGACAATAGTTGGGTTTTAGCCCCTATGAGATATGGTGAAGGAAGTGCAAACATGATAAAAATTTATATGATGTTGAATCGAATCCAAAAAATTAAAATATGACCATACTTTTTTAGACCACCTCTTCAGCATTTTCTCCAGAGCCTCTTGTGTCAAATCATCAGTTAGCTTCCGACCCTCTAACACACGTTTATAGCGTACATACTTTGTGGGTAGCACAAGAGTCCTCCAAGTCGACTAACAAAACAATGACGACGGCAAAAAACAATTACAAATTAGTTAACCCTAAAATAAATCATACATAAATTTGAAATCGAATCCAATTGGAATAACCGATATTCGAATGCCAAAAAGAAGATCTGGTGGGAGAATCGTTACGATCATATTGAATCACAGCTTATAATCGTACCTCGTCGCTGTCGGAAACCGAATTCGTCCCTCGTTCGGTAGACTCGGAAGTCCCCATTCCGGATTCCAGTTTGTCGAACACTGCTCTGCCATGGGGGGAGACCTTGAACACGATATCGGCCATTAGAGTTGCTCCGCTCGAAGACGTCTTTCCCTGTTCGCGTAACTGGTTTGAGCGTGACTATTAGATTATTCGAAGGTCCTTCTCTATGCACCGCCTTTGCGAATTCGGAATTTGTTTATCTAAATAACTTAAGGGCCTGTTTGGTTGGAAGGTTTTGGAGGGGAGGGGAGGAAACTAGAGGATTGATGCATGTTTGGTTGGAAGAAATTGGGAGGGAGGAGAGGATATAGGAAGACATTTAAAATCCCCCAAAATCTCCCGTTTTGACTCCTCCGATTCGGGGTATTTCAGAGGACATCGAAGTTACGCGTTCGCCTTTTAATCTGAATTGACAAAATTGACCCTCCTATTAGCAGCATGCCCTAATTCCTTCTGCGCACCCTTCATTCCGTCTGCCTCATTCTGTGCCGCAAGTAGCTGCCGATGCTCTCTCAAATTCTGTGAGTTCGCCGCCGCCTGAGAATCGACGACCGTCGAGTTCGCTGCCCTGTTCTGTGAGTTCACTATTTTCTCGTTGTATCTTTATCATCTATATCAATGATCGACGACCTCCTGAGAATAGACGACGATCCTTGTATCTCTTTGTATCTTTGAGTTCACTATGAATCTTTCAGATTCATCCTCGAGTTTGGCGATGGTCGTTGTATCTCAACAATGTTGAATCTCGAATTTAGAAGTTATTTGTAGCTAAATTCTGGGATTTTCATTTCCTAATGAAATACCTAGATTGCTTGTCTCTTTCAATGATTTTGATGTGAATATCCTGATATTTTCTTCATAGATTTACCCTATCATACTTATCTAAGAAATTGCTTGAAGTATGAGTAAATTGCTTTAGGTCCGTCCCTACCCTACCCTCCTTAAACTTCAATTTTTTTTTCTCCTCCTTAATTATTAACTCACAAAACATCAATAATTAACAAGGCCGGGGAAAATTACATCGGAAGCTTACGTTTATGAGTATGTTTTAGTTTACCTTACAAAACATATACACATGATAGAAAACCGATTCTCTTTAAAATTTTATTAAATCCATCACACTTGTAGATTTGTTAGTTTTCTGTATTACTCAAATATATATGATTGAATAAATATATAAACAAGCTTATTTAACCCCCCCCCCACACACACACACACATTTTCACTTCCAACCACTTCTAAATGTTAACTCTGCTTTCTTTACTTCCCTATTTTCTCTATCATTTTTTGTGAGCCAAACGGGCATTTGAAAAAGTTTCAACTTTTCAAGAATAGAATATAGGTTTCATATATTTTTTTTCTCTATTACTCTGTATATTGGAGCTCCTTGGTGGAAGAAGGGAAGCTGCAGGATTTTTTCTTTTTCTTTTTAATATTGGGGAGGGATTAGAATTAAACAGGAAGACTAATATCTCACTGTATCCATGAAAAACATAATACGTCAAAATTCAGATGATTCTTTTGTCAAATATGAATATGATTCACACTTTTTTTTGGTTGAAAATATGAAAAGTAGGTTATGTTTCTCGCTTGAATGTGATAAGCATAGTCTAACCCATTGTTTTGAGATACACATGTATGAAGGTGGTGGGGTGTTTGGCTTTTGTTTAGAAGGGGGTGTTTGAGTACTTGTGGGGTTTCTGCTGCCTCTTTTGTTTGTTGCTCCTTTTGCTTTTGAGTTGGATTGTAAGACCTTTTTAAAAAGTCTAATAAAAATTAAGTTGTATGTTTCATACTTGTCCTGTTCCAGTACAAGAACGGCTTAAAAAAAAACTAAAAACTTATGAGTTAGATCACTAGTGAATTTCTACGTACATATAGTATTCCACTTCAATGCATTGTTATCACTACTGGTGCATGATGCTTAGAACTTAATTACACAAATATAAATTTCATCCTTTCATTTTTTATATCAGTGAGCAAGAGTAGTTATTATTTCTGTCAAGGTTGAGTTTCATTTCAACTAATATATATTTGTCATCGTTTCATACCCCGGTTTTACTCTTAATTGATTTTTTAAAATCGTAGAAAGTGAGAATGAAACCATTGAGTCAATAATGTTCTCTCATATTATCTTTGTATATTAACTGATTGTTTTGTATATTACTGTGTAAATTTATGATATAGATGGATCAAAAAACACTCGTAGGATGGTGTAACATGGTGCAAAACATGGTAGCTCACGTTCTTTGCCTTGTTGTTCAATGGTACATCATTCAAACGTGTTATGCTAAAAGAAAAATTACTTATACAATGAGCTCAGGAAGAGAACGAAATAGGGAAGGAACAATGAGGCGTATTATGAGTAGTGAAGGTCGCAATATAGTGAGTATGGGACCAGAAGCATTTCTTAGGTTATCTCAAATGTTAGAGACGCAATGCGGCTTAAAACCTACACGATGGGCAAGTGTTGAAGAACAACTTGCAAAAACATTATATGTACTAACGCATGGTGCCAAGAGCCGTGCGGTGAATTTCTGGTTTCGACGTTCTGGAGAAACTATTAGCCGTCACTTACATAACGTGATAAGGGCTATAATTCAATTAGGAGATCAATTTCTTATCCAACCCAATGGCACAACAATTTCAACCGAGGTTCAAGATAATGAAAGATTTTTCCCTTACTTCAAGGATTGTGTTGGTGCAATTGATGGGACACATATTCGGGTAAGAGTGTCCCCGAAAGAGGCCCCGAAGTATCGTGGTAGAAAAGATCATCCAACCCAAAATGTCTTAGCTGCATGCACATTTGATTTGAAGTTTACATATGTTCTTACTGGATGGGAAGGGACTGCATCGGACTCTAGGATTATAAAAAATGCATTGGCGAGAGAGGACAATTTGAAAATTCCTATGGGTAAATTTGGTTTCTTTTTTAAGCTATTTTACCATACAATTAAATTTATTTTTCAGAGCCAAATATTTACCTTGATAGTTGTTTCATTTTAGGGAAGTATAACCTCGTCGATGCTGGCTTCATGTTATCAAGATCACTACTCACACCTTATAGAGGAGTACGATATCACTTGAAAGAATATTCTGCACAAAATCCTCCAAAAGATCATCGTGAATTGTTCAACCTTCTTCATGCATCACTGCGCAATGCTATTGAACGTGCATTTGGAGTTTTGAAAAGGCGGTTTGTTCTCATTTCAAATGATTGTGGTCCTCGTTATGGAATGAAAGTCCAAAATGGGATAATTTTAGCATGTTGCATTTTACATAATTTTCTAATGGCGTTTGACCCTGATGAGGAGCTTATAGCTGAGGTTGATGCTGAGATCGCAAGGCAAGAAATCACTCACGATGAGAATCACTTCAGAAGTAACAAAGAAGATTCTGTTCAAGGAGAGCGCTTAAGAGATAAATTGGCTATTGCGATGTGGAGGGATTATAGACAGTAGTTTAATAAATACAATGCAATTTCGTACTTTTGTTTACATCGTAGATGTATAACTCTACTCATTTGAATCAGAAGTCGTTATGTCCTAAACTTTTTCTTGTTTGGTATATGTGAACAGTTGATGACTATTTTTATTCTCGTTCTTATTTAAGTTCAATTAATGTACTTATTCCTCATGTTGTTCATTATATGTGTAATTGAAGTTATTATTATATTATTGTTATTAGTCCTTTTTTTATTAAAGATTTGAGATTTGATGATACATATTTTTTGTAGATATCATGGCTCCGAAAAAGAATGTCTCTAGTGATGGAAGTTCATCAAAAATGCTAATTTGGACGCCTGCTATGGATTCAACTTTGGTTGATGCATTCCTGAGTCAGTATAATATGGGACTCAAGGTTAATGGCACTTTCATAACCAAGGCGTACGAAAACATTCTGGCTGAAATGACAAGAACTTATGACATAAAAATTGAGAAGAGCCAAATAAAGAGTCGATGGAAGCTCTTGAAGAAACACTTTTCGGAGGCTTATGACATTTTCAAGAATGGTATGAGTGGATTCACTATAGATCCAATAACACAAGCTTGGACAGCTGAACCAGAAGTTTGGAATGACCTTATCAAGGTATAATTATAGTTTTTTATTTCAGTTTTAGTTCATATGAACGTATTTTTCAACACACCTTCCTGTAGATAAAACATTCTTCTCACATAGACCTTTTTCTGCTCAAAACAGTCGAACTCTAAACAAGGCCAAAAACTGACAAAAGCAAATTGACTAAACTGAAATGCGATAAATTGAACAGCCAAACACCTTTATGAATAGTAGATATAGGGGAAAATAATAACATAACAGTTCAGTGTGCCAAATTGCCAATATATGAGCAGATAGGATATGAAAAAATGTGACAAGATTGCCAAACTTTACCTGATGAAATCTTGCGCTCTTGTAATTCTCAGAGAAGTTTTTCCTAATTGCCTATAAGCTGCAATTGCAGATATTCGAGTATATCTAATTTATACAAGTCGTTAGCAGCACTTTCAGTACTCATTTAAAATGTCTTCAAATGGCTAATCTACCAAATGCAAAAATAGTTGTGAAAGTCCATAGGTGTGGAACTCTTCAAAGTTACTGAAGGCTCTAATACTTGTTAGTTAATCTGCTCGACTGTTTAATTGTTTTCTTATGGCTCTAATACTTGATTTTATTATTATGTAGCTTGACTTTATTAGTTATTAACTGGACCTCCCTGCAGACGTCCCTGCATCAATGACAACTAATATGGATATCTTTGTTTTAATATTATTTACTTGCATGTTCATATGAAGCTGGTTTCCTCTAGACTGATTTCATATCAACATGTGTAAATTTGGTTCATTGTTTTGGGTTGGCATAGGTTAAGCCTCAAGCCAAGATGTTCATGCAAGCTCCCGTACCTAATTATGATAAAATGGTGATTCTCTATGGAAAAGATAGGGCTACAGGAGTTGAATCAGTAACTGCTTCAGAGCTTCGAAAGCGTCCTAGTTCAATTGGTACGGATGATTACAATGATTCTACCACTGATTCACAGGTGCGTGTCGATGATGATATTGAGATAACATCAAGGTCAATGACTAAATCCACCAAAAAACCCAAGAAATCAATTGCAAAAGAGAAGGACATTCTTGGTGAAGGAATTAAGGAAGCAATTGAGAAGGTGGCTGATGCGATTATAACTTCTGGTGAGCTT